TACTTTGAATTAAGCATTCTTTCTCTTAGATATGTGTTAGACATGACAATCTGTCACTCAACTCTCATTCCTAACTTCTTCCGTCATCTCTGAGACTAGAAATCTATAGACTATATTTCCCAGAATCCTTTGAAGGGTGCAGTGAGAGATGAGGTTCCTTCAGAGAGAATGGCTGGAGAAGGAAGCAGAAGGTGTCTAGGGATGACGTTGGCTGGCCTCCTTCTGCCGTGGGTACGGTGTTCCCTCCCTTGGTTCCTAGGGGTGAGAATGCAGGACGTCCTCTGATCATTGGAACACAGAAAAATGACATGTTCGTGAAGTCAGCACCTCTGCTAATGGCCATGTCTCAGAACTCAGGCGGTGGTAATGAAGGCTAATGAAGGCTGCAGCCCTGGGGCCACTTCAGCCCAGCTGCTTGGCAGGAATCTCAAGGAGTTTGCAAGCACTCTCTCCTCTTTCTTAAGTAGCAACTTTCCACTCTAACTTTCTTGTGCACACTATGCCCCTTTCCGCCTCAAAGTAGCTCTGACAATTTTCTGGTTGTCACAAGAAAGGGGGCATTCCATACATCAATGGTAGGAAATGCTTCGGGAGAAAAAAGGGGAAAGGTTGTGCCCATCTGACACACAGTGGTGTGATAGAGAACAAGGCTACAGACCAGACTAGGACTACCTAAATGAAGGGATGGAGTTGAAGTCAAACCATAATTATAAGAGCTGGGAAGTCATCAAGGACACCCATGGAAAGACAGAAGGAAAGAAGGGGAAGACAAACAGAAAGAAAAATAATGAATCCACCTATGTGCAGAAGACAGCCAACCACACGCCCTTCAAATGACCGTGAGGAGATCCACTCATCAGGGGAGAAGGTTTTCATGACCCTGCCCTTTCCTCTGAGCGACCAGAGCCTTCCTCATGAGATTTCAAAGTGAATCATGCCCTACAGCTCCTTAGTGGAGCTGATGCCTGTGTGATTGACAGGAATATTCATAACATGCATTTTAAACCAAACTCTGTTAGTCTTAAAAATTTTAAGGGAGATTATTCTAAACCTTGTTTAGGGTAGAGGAGTGGGTCTGGAGGTACACTCAGGGCCTTGCACATGACACCTGTGCTTAACTACTGAGTTACCCTTCCAGCCCTACACTCTCTTAAAGTCAGACCCCTAATGCAAAGCACTGGCAAATGAATTATGATAAATACTGTTCATTTCAGATTAGCTTAAAAGTCGCAAATCTCCTTTTGTGGTTTGATAGTGTATGTAACCCGAACAAAACAATCCCAAGGCAAGACATCCACATACAATGAGATTTCTACTAAGACTATATAAAAGAAAAAAAAAAGTTTCTCCCAGGCCAGCTCTACTGTTCCTGCCTCCTTCACATAGCTCCTGTTAGAGATGTCTAAGCTCTGGGTAGTTCTCCCAGCTCTTCTGGTTTTGGGCAGGTACCGTTCAGTTTCCACTACATGTTCTTTCTTCATACAGCTTCTGGAAGCAACATTTCAGACCTCCGTCCCACTGCAGGTCAAATTCCCCATTTCTGCTGTCACCCACTTTCAGTTTCTATCCCTAATATTACATACGGGCTGTCCTGTGAGTTCCGTTTAGTTGGTGGTTCTGTAGGCAGGAAGCTCGAGAGCAAACACTCACTTCTAGTCAACAACGCAGAAAACCCTCAGTGGTGCTTTGAAGGAGAAGGGTCCCCAAAGGGAAGGACACTATTAGGAGGCGTGGCCTTGTTGGAGGATGTATGTCACCATGGGGACGGGCTTTGAGGTCTCTTTTGCTCAAGCTTCCCTCAGTGTAGCATTCAGACCATTTCCTGCTGTGGGATGTTCTGTATGGCAAATGTGTTGCTGATTAGTCAATAAATAAAACACTGATTGGCCATTGGCTAGGCAGGAAGTGTAGGCGGGACAAGGAGGAGAATAAAGCTGGGAAGTGGAAGGCTGAGTCAGAGAGACACTGCCAGCCGCCATGATGAGAAACAGCATGTGAAGATGCCGGTAAGCCACGAGCCATGTGGCAAGGTATAGATTAATGGAAATGGATTAATTTAAGCTGTAAGAACAGTTAGCAAGAAGCCTGCCACGGCCATACAGTTTGTAACCAATATAAGTCTCTGTGTTTACTTGGTCGGGTTTGAGCAGCTGTGGGACTGGCGGGTGACAGATATTTGTCCTGACTGGGGGCCAGGCAGGAAAACTTAAGCTACAATTTCCTGCTGCCTCTAAGATGTAGGACTCTCAGCTACTACTTTATCATCACGTCTGCCTGCGTTTTACCACGATCCCTCCCATGATGATAATGGACTGAACCTCTGAACTGTAAGAGAATCATCACAAGGAAATGTTTTCCTTTGTAATAGTTGCCCTGTTTATGGTGTCTTTTTATTTTTTATTTTAATTAATTAATTAATTAATTAATTTTTTGGTTTTTCAAGACAGGGTTTCTCCATGTAGTTTTGGTGCCTGTCCTGAATCTTGCTCTGTAGATCAGGCTGGCCTCGAACTCACAGAGATCTGCTTGGCTCTGCCTCCCGAGTACTGGGATGAAAGGCATGCGCCACTACCACCCGGCGGTTATGGTGTCTTTTCAAAGAAATAGAAACCCTAACTAAGACACGCTCTATGCAACTTCAGGGGGTATCACTATATCAACACACCCAGTTCACTTCCTCTTCTATCCAGTCCCCCTGCCCTCTGTGTGTGTGTGTGTGTGTGTGTGTGTGTGTGTGTCTGCATGTATGTGTGTATGCATTTGTGTGTGTGTATGTGTATATACAAGTGCCCACAGAGGAGATGTCCAATCCCTTGGAGCTGGAGTTGCGGGCATTTATGAGCTGCCTGATGTGTGTCCTGGGATCTGAACTCTTGGTTCTCTGAAAGAGCAGTAGGCACGATTAGCTGTGGAATCATCTCTCCAGCACCTCTCTCCACTCTTTATAACTACTCACCGTGTGCTAACAGTAGACTAAGCATTTTACGACCATTATTCCATCCACTCTCCACAGCCACCTTCAGAGAAATCATTACGCCCACTTCACATATGAGGAAATGGCTTGGGCTGGGTTTCACTTTAGGAGACCTAGTTAAATTGCAAAATGCTTTCCTTAGGTGGCTGGAAGTTTCTTTGGTATAGAAGGTCCCCAAATGAATGCCGTTCACCTCCTTTGAGCAGCTCTTATCAAACGTTCTTAAGCAAAATCTCTCTCAGGTTACCTAGAGAAGTTGAGTCATAAAAGCAAAGAGGCACTCAACTGGCCACTTCGAATCACTATTCTTTCAGCCTTCCCAGGGACCAAATTATGCCAGAGTTGAGCTCAGTTCAGCTTTAGTCCCTCCAAGCTCTCCTCAGTTTCCCCAGTTTCCTTCACACTTTTGTGCTACTGTTTTTAGAACATATCCTCATTCATCTACAAGTGAAAACTGAAGGTCACTAACAGTCTAATTGCAACAATTCGCTATGCCAGGGACTCATTTCAGTGACATCTTTTGTTCAACTCCTGCTTAAAACTTCCAGGCAGAACATCACCATGAACTCTTCTCTCAACATCAAGATGCTGTGTATTGCCCACGGTGTCTGCTTGTGGCCTCTTCAGAGCAGGGACACAACCTTCACAATCAGATGCATCAAGCTTTGGAGGCCAATTCTTAAAGAAGCATAAACATCCCTACCCTTCAGAATTACCGGCCCACTTAGCACTCCTTGTTTACAGGCCTTTCAAAGACCAGTAACAAACAAACAAACCAAAACCTATACTAAACAGAGGTTTAAGGTTTGCTGAGAATCCAGTGCCACCTGGCCCCTACATTTAAAATCAGGTTAAGTTCTTAGCTATGCAGATCAAGCATTTTCAATGTCACCATCCTTTTGGTAAGTTAAAAAATTACTAAAATGCCTGAACTACCTTTGTATCATAGCTATACTAAGACACACACCAAAGGACAAACTATTTCCAAAGAGCATCATTGCCCTTATCAGATCTTTCTAGAAGTAGCATTTCTTTTGAACGAGGAAAAGGGCCTGTAGAGAGCTCCCTTTTAAAATGTGACCGCTGTCTGGAATGGTTTCCTTAGTAATGAGATACCTTTCAACTTGCCACAGTCTTCTTTTAAATAAGTCAGTGGCTCTTGGACAAGCTTGGCAGGCATGTCTTCCCAGCGATCTTCATCCCCAGAGACCCTCCCCCAGCCGACTCTACGGCACCAGACACCAGAGCTGTTTACACGGCCCTAGCGGCCAGGCTGAGATCTTGATCTCTGAAAACCCTACAATTCTCCCTTCGCTAAAGTTCAATACAAATTAATCACCCATTTTCCAGGAAGTAGAAAGATAAGACACCTTAACGGGCCATGTGAATAATTGTGCTTTTAGCTGGAAAATAAAGTGTTAAATGCCCAATCCTCACCAGTCGTATTGACAATAACCTCAATCTTGCAACGACACGGATCTATTCTAGTCTTTTTTCGGCACGAAATCTCCTATGTGCATTTTAACGATTTCATACACAGCAACTAAGATATAAAGAAAGGATTGGCTCGGAGTTGTTTAAAGCCTTGCGTCTTTCTGCATGTTATTTATCACAAAGAGCCCAAGTTAATGCAAAAAGGCTCGCACAAAAGGCAAATACTATTACAAATCCCATCACCCTATTTTGACTTTCTTTCCAATAAACGGTATTTTCATCCTCAGCTTTGGAAACTTTCAGACTGCGAGTTATCTCAGTTCCCGCCTCCTGCTGGGTAGAAAAAAAAATCATTTCCCAAGTCACGGCTTTTAAAGGGAAAGCTACACGTGCACCCAGAAACACGAATTCATTTTCACCTTTAAGCCTCTGAGCAGATACCCCCTTGAGCTCTGAGTGCCGAATTGATCGCCCTGCGATCGGAAGCGTAACCCTGCCAGGCAGGCTGGTCTGCTTTGGTCACATCTCAAGTTTGCAGGGTAAACAGGTTCTCCGCAGTAACCGGGGTGGCCGAGGAAGACCAGGAACTCACCCAGGCGTGCAGATCCCCGGTGTGTGTGTGGGGGGGCAGCCCGCCACGACCCCAGTCTCTAGGGGTGCAGAGCGGCCACAACTGGGGCAGCAGAGACGCAGGTCGCCCTTGAGCAGTGCAGACTTAAATGTCAGCGCCGGGTCGGGGGCGGTCTCTGCCCGGGATCCGGGCGGGAGGCTCGACCAAGCGCTGGCTCGGAGCTCTTCAGCATCACAGCCGGGGCTGTCCAGAATGCAACTTCCACGCGTCGGCCTAGAAGCGTGGGAGCGTGAGAATGAAAGGAAGAGGAGTGGTGGAGGGGTGCAGGGGTGGGGGAAGACGGGGTGCGCGGGAGCGCGCGCGGGACGGGAGCGCGGCGCGGTAGAGAAGTTGGAGAGCAGCTCCGAGGCCGGCGCGCGCCGAGGCTGGCGTGGGGGGGGAACCTCCTGCCGAGCGGCACGGCTTGGGTGCCAGAGTGCCAGCAGCAGCGACTTCCCGCGGTCCCCGCTGCCCGGACCCGCCCTCACCTCTTCTTAGGCTGCGGCCGCGGGCTCGCGGCGGCGCCTCGGAGTCGGCTCGGTGCGGCGCGGGCGCGCGGCGGAGCCCAGGCAGTGTGGCCGAGCTGTCTGGTCCCCTGCAATCGCCGAGCCCGGACGTGCCAGGGGAGTTAGGCTGGGATCGATCGGGATGACCTTCCTGTCCCTTGCCTCGCTCCTCTCCAGTCTCTGGTGGCTGGTCGGTTCCTAAGCCCGAGAGACGCAAGGGCGGGTACACCTGGCTGGCCCCAAGCGCAGCTCCGTACCTGTGGTGACTGACACCTCACGTGACCCCGAGCGTTTCTCTTCCCTTTTTCTCCTGACCGCCACATACACTAACGGGAATACCAACTGGGTGCCTGGGCACCTGGGCTGACCCAGAAGCGGAGGGATCAAGCCCAGGCTGTCACAGCTCAGGTTCTGGGTCTTTTCATTAAAAAGGCATGGTTCATCTTTTCAATGTTTTGCCAAAGTGAGTGGGTCAAAGGCAGCTCGTGTCAAAGTGTAGGGTGGAATTCAGAAGCGTTCGCCTAATGGACATAGATCACTGTTTCTGCAATAATAGTGTTAATTGCTTTCCGTGTCAGCTAATAACCTTCAAACCCCCATTAGTAAACGACTCAGTTACCCGCAGGGGTCTATCTATGTATTTAAAAACAAAACAAAACAAAACCATGTTCCCCAAATCGAAGCCCAGATTGTTCAGTAATGTCTTTGGACAAGGATCTGATGTTGCTGAGTTGCTGTTCTGTTATGGATGTTTGTGCGGACTCAGCTACGGTGTCCCCAAAATGTGCCTTTGTAGTGTTGCTAGGAGGGCTGCTGGAAAATCATTTAACTTAATTCCGGAGCAGTGTTCCAGTACTTAGTCTACTGCGGGACGCAGGGAAAACTTCTGTTCAGACTTCTAGTGCAATGTCAAGAATAACAAAACAGCCATCTCCCCCTGCCATGAAAAAGGGGTGGGAAGAACCATCCTATCTTCCTGAACTCGGGTGCCAGCAGGAAAGACACTCACCGCTGGTTGGCTCGTTTTTTCCCTTCCCATTCAAGGAATCTACAGCTATGGTAAACAGAACGCATCTCAGGTACTGACATATTCTTTACCTTGTGTAACAATGCACAGCAAAGCACATTTCAGGAGCATATTGTTTAGTACACGGCAGGGGCCTAATAAATATCACATCGTGAAAGTAAGATAAACAGAACAGGATAAACAGGGAAAGCGACCTGGTTTAAATTGCATAAGAAACACGAGGGAAATAATTACAGGTGAAGTGGTCAGGGCAGGCGCAACATTTTGATATTAAGAGTTTTGAGATGTGAGCGTAGCAGAAGTTCTTATCCTTGTGTAGGGAACAGGCTCTACCTACAACAAGGGGACAGCTCTGGAATACTGTAGAATGAATGTATATGTATTTTTACATAAAATACAAGGCATCTTATGGGTGCACACAGACTGGCAGAAGTCAATCTGTGCAAGGTATGTAACCCATGGACACTGCATCATTATGTAACTGTCAAATGTGTTGGGCCACAGTCCTGGCTATTTGGGGACCCATGTGGACTCCAATTGGACACTCCAGCCATACTATGTGGATGTGAGTTACCAATCCCTTGTCTGGAAGCAGAGAGAAAAGCTCATCATTGTAGCTGAGGCTATGATAGGAGGCATTTATTTCCTGGCCATGAGCAATTTGGATGATGGCTATGGAAATGAAAAAAATATTTATGAACTAGGAAAACATAGCTGGGCTTAAAGGCAAACAGCTTATGTGCTTTTGTATGTGAGTATTCCACCGCTCAGCAAAAAGAGAAGAGACAGACAAAATAGGGCTATCTAAACACTGACAGTTGGTGCTGGGTGGGGACTTGGGGGTGTATCATTATCTCATTGTTCATGAAGGTTGACACTTTTTATGAAAAAAAAATCTAATGAATCCTTGCTCTTGAGTAATTGTAACCCATCCCATGGGATTCCTCAGCTTTGATTATTAGGATGGATAATTGATATATAATAAAAGCAGTGGGGGCTGGAGAGATGGCTGAGCGGTTGAGAGAGCTGATTGTTCTTCCCGAGGACCTGGGTTCAATTCCCAGCACCGGCATGGCAGCTCACAACTGCCTGTGACTCCACTTCCAGGGAACCCGACACCCACAGCAAAACACCAATGCACGTAAAATAAAAATATTTTTTTTTAAAAAAAGAAATGAGCTGCCCACGAGACAGCTAGCTCAGAGGGTAATGGAGCTTGCTACCAAGTACTGACCAGCTGAGGTCAACCCCCAGGACCCACATGGTCTAGGGAAGGGACTCACTCCCCAAAAGTTATCCTTGACTTCCCATGTGCTGAGGTACCCACGTGCCCGCTCACATAAACCCACACAAGCAATAGTAAATACAATGTTAAAAAGGGAAAGGAGAAAAGGAGACACTATGAAGATGCCAGCGATGATATTCATGGCATTATTATTATTAAGTAGAATTTCAACCGGAACAACGGACGTTCTCTTACACTGAATAACGTTATGTGCTGACATGGTATATACAGAAACCAGACCACTGCAGAATGCTGAAAAGCTGTTTCCTGGTTTTGTTCTGGAATTACACTTTATACTGACTAATTAGCTACGTTCCTCTATTATTACCTTTTATGACTACACTATATGTTATTACTCCTATGTATCAGGACGGTGACCACGATGATAATGCTACTTAACTGATTCCATCCTCTTTTTAATTCTTCAGATCTGGCACATACATCAGAGGGAGAAGATTGAACCTATGAGCACCTGCCTCGTGCATGTGCATACATACCTCAGTACCCATCTCGTTTGCTTCTGCATCCTGAGAAGGGCACCCACAGTGCTAGCTCACAATAGCGTAGCATCGCCTATCACATGATTAGCTCAGTTAGGTGTATCGGTGTCTAGCTCATCACCAAGCCTGTGCTGTATTAGATAGCATCTTAGCTTTTTGTTTTTGTTTTCCTCTTGCCATGACAGCATACCCAGGCAAAAGCAACTTGATGGGAAAGGCTTTGTTTGGCTCATAGTTCCAGTTCCAGTTCTTCACTACAGGGAAGTCAAGATGCAGAGATCTGAAGTAGCTAGTCGCTCCACACCCATGGTCAAGAGCAGAAAGCAATGAGTTAGTGAATGGACACGATTGCTCGGCTGGCTCTCCGATTTTCACTCAATCCAAAACCAGCCCATGAAACTGTACAGCTACATTCAGGATGGGGCTTCCCAACTAAGAAAATACCTCATAGGCATGCCCACAGGACGACCCAACCTGGATTCTTCCTTGAGATTCCCTTCCCAGGTGATTCTACATTGTGTCAAGTCGATAGTCAAAAACTAACCATCACCCATAGTGATGATGAGCGGCTCAGACCTTTTCTGTGGTTTAGAAGTGACCTCTGCATTAGAACCCAGGCTGCTAACGCTTCTCAGCTGCGCCATTAATTGCTTGGTTCTCTGCCTCAGGAGAAGCAAAAACAGCACCAGACTTAAGTTTTACAGTCGGGAGTAGCAGGTGCCTTGGCAACTGAGGAGCTCGCCCTACGGTACTTCCTCAGGTGGCTGTTTCCTCACAGACAACTACTAACAGTTGTAGAGGCAACAGCTGGGGCTCCCTTCCTTTCTCTTGTAGCTTTGAAATCCTGTAAATCAACAGAGACAATCTGATTCTTTTCGGACTTGAACTGACGCAACAGCACAGCCTCCTGATAGCCCCTGATGCATGACGGGAAGGGAATCTTGGGTTGTCCTTTGCATAGCTTTCCCCGTGTGGCTTTCTTCCTCGTTCCTAATAAAAGCACAAGCCATAACTTCTGAATGCTTGCTTTGACAATTTTTTTTTCTTTTGTAAATCAAGTCATGTTTTCAACCAATCTTGTTAACACCGTTATTTATTTCATTTTTGGCTTATGTGTCTGAATGCTATGCTTTCGTGCATGTATGTGTACCATGGGCATGCCTGGGGTCCTTAGAGGTCAGTAGAGGGCATTGGAACTAGAGTTAAAGGTTGATTTTCAACTGCTATGTCAGTGCTGGGGATCTAAACCTGAATTCTCTACAAGAGAAATATAATCTCCTAACCTCTGAGCCATCTCTCCAGATCTCTCAGATCTTTCATTTTTTTCTAGTAAAATGAAAATTTTGTTATGAAATATTTTTTTCTGAACCATTATAAAAACTATAACCAGGCCGGGCGGTGGTGGCGCACGCCTTTAATCCCAGCACTCGGGAGGCAGAGCCAGGCGGATCTCTGTGAGTTCGAGGCCAGCCTGGTCTCCAAAGCGAGTTCCAGGAAAGGCGCAAAGCTACACAGAGAAACCCTGTCTCGAAAAACCAAAAAAAAAAAAAAAAAACTATAACCAGAATGTAGCAGCTAATGTTTTAAATCATTTGTTTTATGGAAATACAGAATAAACATATAATCAATAAACATTAAAACCAAATTATTCCATAGTCCTTTTGTGTGACATTCATTACCATCTTTCCATGTCTTAGGATCTACCACAAATCCTACACAGTGGATTGCAGTACTCCACAAGACCTGGGCCCTACATCTCTAGGTCCAAGGAAAATCAGGAGTTATTTCCAGCTTATATGGTCTCAATTCCTACCCCTCTCGTCTCTACAGTGCCATCCATGTTCCTAAGAAATTCATGCAAGAGCTTTTTCTAGAGCTGTTGGGTATTGCTTGATTTATTTAAGTCTCCCTGCTTACCACAGCCTCAAGTATTTAAAGTTCAATGCATACATCTGAATTGAGTTCTCACAGACTTCTCTCAGCCTCATGATAGTCTAGAGAATGCTTTGATGCCATGATTTCACTCAGGTTCAAGGGCTTACTCCACTCAAGACTGTTCTTAGCCCTGGGTTATTTTACTAAGTTAGTGTTATTTATTTATATCACTGGTATGACAGAGTCTTTTACAAGTAACATTTATTTATTTATTCTTCAAAAAGTTCATGCATTTTTACAATGTATTTTGATGATGGAGACTTTTGTAAAAAAAAAAAAATCCTGTTTCCATCCTTTCAAAGTCATCCCACGTCTTTGAGTGATTCTATTAGTTTACAGAAGACTATGTTGAAGCATAGGGAAGAGAAGGTGTGGAATGAAGAACAGGAGAAGTCAGTTTGAGATCATCAGGAGAAACGGTGAGACTCAGTTTCTGTAGAGAGAAAACGCTCACCTGAGAGAGATGGGCAAGGATTTATGACCTCACAGGTTTAAAGCATTTGCTGCACAAACCAGTCAGACTAGTCTGGGGAACAAAGAGCCCACAGCTGTTTATAATGCAAATCAGTACAGTTTAGAGGAGGGAGTGCCATCTGAGCCGCCCAAGGCATTTGGGGGACTTGCCTTATGATTCAGTCCTGTGCCTTTCACTTCTCCAGCCTCTTTGGTACCAGTTCTGGAACTGCCGTCTTTGTCCAGAGAACCGGATACCCCACACCTATGAAGTCTGGGGGCTTCCTGGTGGTCTATAGTACACTTCCCAGCATCTATCTGATAGGATTTTATGAGTCAAGGAGAGAACAACCCTGTTTCCCCTCTGTCTTCTTATACTGGATGAAAACTGATGTGCCAGATCTCGATAGTTCCCGGTCAACTGTCCTCCATCCTCTGCTTTTCTGTCTCTGTGATCTTTCCCAGGACCTCCTCATCCACCTCTCACTGCAGGAAAGACTTTGTGAAGATGCCTCAAAAATCTCAGAAATCTCCAGGTCCACATGACTGATGTCTTGCTTGGCATCTCTGTCAGGGTGACTCATATTGGAAACAGGCCCTGTGCCCTCCTCTGTGGACCTCACTTGACTTCTAGTAGCTGCTTTAGTCTATGAATCCCTGTCCTCCAGGCACCTGGCATATATCCCTAGACTCTTGTTTCTTGCCCCATATACTCTCAGCAGCAGCTACAATCTGCTAATTTTACCTTTGTAATACTTTCTAATCTACATTTTCCTTTCTTATTGTTCCTATGTATATATACATATACATACATACATATATATACACATACATATATGTGTGTGTGTGTGCGCGCGCGTGTGTGCGCGCATGTGCGCTTGCAGAGGCCGTAGGAGTTGTCAAGTGTGTGTCCTCTATCTCCCTCCACCAACCCTGAGTGTTTGTTCTAACTGTAGACAAGGGTGTTTGTTTTGCCTTGCAGAAACTAGGTCACCCTGCAGCTAGCCTTTGTGTTTTTACCCACTTTCAGTCTCTGGGGACCTTGGGGGGAGGGACTTTCTACACATTCTATTTCTCAGAATGATATTCCTCCTCTATTATCACCCATTATTTGTGGGCACAAAACTTTGGGAGTCAGTTTATTTACTTATTATGTATTTTTATGGGAACAGTGAGTGGCACACATTTTGGTTGATGTTGTCCTGTTTTTTTTCCAAGAGCTATTACATAATTCTCCCAAGAAGAGCTCTCCAATACAGAGTTTTTTCCCCTCTCCCAGTGTGTGTGTGTGTGTGTGTGTTGGTTTTAGCTAGGAATGGACAGGGCATTTGTGACCTTGTCTGACACAATAGGAAAATAGAGACTATGGAAAAATAAACACCTCAAACAGAGAATGTACTGCATAAACAATGAAAACATTCACACAAGGAAAATACAAAGTCAGGATTCCGGAGACAATTGGATGACTTGGAAATAGAACACACCGTTTAGTGAACAGTATTTTTATGCAATATTTGCAGATATTAAATATTAACATGTATGTGCAAGGGAAAAAATTGGGCAAGCATGCCAAAATCTTGCTAGCTGTTTTCTCCCTCGCTGTAGTTTTCATTTTTATGGTCATCTATATGTGTGTAAGGCGAAGGGGTCCACGCTGTTGGGGAGCAAAGCATACTCTTATTTACAGTCACAGTTCTTTATTTTTTATTTTTTAATAAAAAATTGTATTTACTTAGAAGCATTCAGGATGTCAACAAAACAGCTGCATTTTTTTTTATTTTGCAATCACAGAGTGGTATTCAGTTAACAGAACAACAGCTATCTTCATATAAGCTGCAGCAGAGGCAACTGAAGATGAAAACAAACAAAAACAAAAAAACCCAAACAAACAAAACCAACGTCCCCACATGTGACTAATCTGTGCTGTGCACCAACAAGAACCTGCCTTAAATTTCCACTCCAGTTTACCACGCCCGGACTGTCCCAGGCAAGGTTAGTGGCTATTGAAAACAACCACCAGGACAGGGCTATCTAAAGACACATTCGGTAGTGTGTTCACTACACAAACATAGACACTGTACAGTTTAAAAACAAATCGCACACAGCCTTACATTTCAATTTTTTTCTTCACAAGGAGTGAGTTGTGTCAGGGGTGTTAAATGCTCTATAGACAAGGAAAGAAAACTCTGCTAGAACTAACTTATTCCTCCTCCTCCTCCTCCTCCTCCTCCTCCTCCTCCTCCTCCTCCTCCTCCTCCTCCTCATCTTCCTCTTCTTTTCCTTGCTCTTTTCAGCCTTGACCACCCCCTTCCTTCGCCTCACCAGGTTTTCCTTCAGCTCTGTAGACAGCGATATCCCTTTTGTGTTTTCCACTAGGTATGTTTATCAGATGTGCTTTGAATGTAAGACAGCTCCCACAGGCTTGTGTGTTTGCGGTGTACTAGCCACACAGTTTGGCAAGGTTGTGGAAACTTCTAAAGGAAGTGGGTCACTGGGGGCAGACCTTGAAGCTTTATAGCCTCGTCCCACTTCGTCTTCATCCCTGTTGCCGAATTCTAGATGTAACCATGTAACGGGTCAGTTTCCTTCCTTACTCTGTACCACACCTTCCCTGCCTGCTGACGTGCCTTGCCTTCCACTGGTCCCTGAAACGGTAAGCCAAAATAAGCCCTGTCTCTCTTAAATTGCTTTTTAAAGTTATAATTAAAATTTTTGAGATAATATAATCACATTTCCCCCTTCCCTTACCTCCCTCTAAAACCCTCCCATGTACTCCCTCTTGATCTCATTCAAATTCAAGGCATCTTTTTTTCTGTACTTGTTGATGTATATTCCTAAATGCATAAATACAACTGGCTCCATCTGTATAATGTTAATTGTATGTATATGTTTTCCAGACTGACCATCTGGTATCAGATAACCAACGGGTGTGCCCTTTAGTTGCCTATTGGTCCTTTGTCTAGGGTTGAGGCCTCAGGAGCTTTCTATCCTCCATATGACCACATCTGTTGGTATCATCCTTGTTCAGGTAATGATCAGGCAGCCATGTTGATGAGACTTTGTGGATGTAGAATCTCTGACATTTCTAGTAGACACAATCTCACAGCAAACTCCCCGTTCTTCTGGCTCTTAACAATCTTTCTGCCTCCTCTTTCTAGATGATCCCTGTTATGCCCAGATCATGATCCCAAAGAGACCACTGAAGACTTTGGATGTCCAGAATGCAACAGCAAGGTTTATTCTATAGATACAAGTCTAGACAGGGAACTCGTTCCTACACCCAATAGAGTGAGGCAGGGAGGAGTTGCTCTTTCTTTGTGAGGCTAGCTATTTAAAGGCAAAAACTGCAAGCCCTTCAGGGCAGTTGGGGGTGGTTGGCACAGGTGCAACTCGGATTAGTTTATTTTTATTTTTGAAGATCTCTGTTCTCTTTTAATTGGGTGAGGGTGTGTAACCTTTGAATTTACTGCTTGGGGGTTACAATTATCATTTTGGGGGCAGTCCAGCACAAGTCCCAGGCTTTGTCCTTGAGCTGCCATGGGGGCTGGCTGGCCTAGCACGGACTGACTTGGGGGGCTGGCCCAGTGGTCTAGGTTCTGTCCTTGGCTCATGCACGTAACTCTAAGTTGGTGAGGGGTCCCAGACAGTAAACATCTGGCTGAACTTTGAGCAGTCAGAGTACGTGCAGAAAGGGAGCTACTGCAAGGACTATGTCTTTTGTTCACGGCCCTCCCAGAGACTGTTTGCTCAGTCTCAGGAAACTGAAATTGAGGCCTGATCTCTGAGAGAAGACTGAGCAGCCTGTTATGGCATCTGTTTGGTCCTTTCAGTCCCTAAGTCTTAGGTGCATTGTTCTGCAGATGTTATCAGTTAGGACCACTCTTCCTTCACCACTCTGCATTTTGATTGGTTGGTGGTTTTCTATAATGGTCTTGGTCTGCCTCTTAAATTGCCTTTTTTCCCCCCAGGATATTTTATCACAACAACAAGAAAATAACACACCAGGTAAGCTCAAATATTGACTCTTTGCTCAAGTACCTTGATTGCATATAGCTTGGTGATGGAGAAATTGAATCTATGTGAAAGTCAGTTTGGGGGGAAAATGGGAAGTAGAGAAGTAGGATCACTCTGTGAGCTCATAATCCTGGAGGAATGTGGAGCCCCCAGAGACCTGATAATCTGGGGGGAAATAGAAGTCAGATTTCAAGATGGTTGGTTTCTATTTTCCCCTACTATTATTTTGTACATTTTTTTTGTTTAATTTTCTGTGTTATGGTTTGCGTGGGTGTACACACACTATCTTATTTTTTTTTTAAATAGAGTCTCTCACTGTTTTGGGGGTTCATCAGTTTGCAAGGTTGGCTGGCCAATAATCTTTGGGAATCTACTTGTCTTTGCCTCCTGAAAGGGGAGTATGCTTCTGGCTTTTATGGGGGTCCTGGGGATCCAAACTCAAGTCCTTACTGTTTCACAGCCAACACTTTACACACTGAGCCATCTCCCCAGCCCCAGTTTTGAGAAATAAGCTTTGAAACAGTTTAGAATAAATCAACATTTAAAGAGGAAGTCCTGGGATTGGAGAGATGGCTCAGTAGTTAAAAGTACTTGTTGCTCTTCTAGAGGACTGAGGGATTGGATCCCCAGCACCTACATGGTGGCTTATAACCACTTGTAACTCCAGTTCCAGGGGATCTGATGTCCCTTTATGGTCTCTGCAGTTCCTGCACAAACATGGTACACAGATACACATGCAGGCAAACCACTCATATCCATAAAATAAAAATAAATCTAAAAAAAATTCTTAAAAAAGAGTAAGTCGTAATGCGTGCTACAAAAAGTTGGCTTAGTGGAGAATAATTTCAGAAAACTGAGTTTAAAAAGAAACATATAGATGTATATTTCATATATATGTTACTCATATATACATGTATATATGTGAAAGCAATTTATAATAATTGTAGTTTATCCTCTGAGACTAAGCAAGACAAAAATGGTAAACTATAGGCCTGCCCCACAGTGTTCTAAGGACTAGCATCCTGTGACCCTGACCTCACCATAGCTCAGTTAGCTGAGTACTTGTCTAGCAATCTCTAGCACTACATAAAACTGGGCATGTTGGCACATGGCTGTAATCCCAGTACTCAGGAGGTGAAGGCAGAAGGGTCAGAAGTTCAAGGTCATCCCCAACTATATAGGGACTTCAAGGCCAGCCTGAGGTATGAGACAAGAGGTGTGTGTGTGTGTGGGGGGGGGAGGGTTGGGTAACAGAACAGGAGTAAATATCTTTCACCAGACAAGATTTCAGATGAAATAGACAGAGGTTGAAGTCAATGTCACAGGGCAGAAAAGCATTTTTTAACATTGAAGGTGGGAACTCATAGATCATTTTCCCAGCAAGATCTGGTGCATTCAGAGTGGTATGGCCATAGACTTGTAGATCATTTTCAATTGTAGCTTTGCATGACAAAAGCTTTTCTCCATTTGTGATTCTGGCTGCGTACAGGAAAGCATAATGTAGCATGTGCCGCCTTCTCTCACAAGCTCAATCCTGCCTGGTTATAAATCAAATCAGTGTACCCTAAAGTGAGCAACTTAAGCAAAATTTCAAGTACAGTGCTGCATCCAAATTGAATACACATTAAAAGAAAAAAAAATCTTTAACTACACTTGTGAGATGGAAATGTCCATGCACCCAGGAAGGCATCTATGTTGAAAAAAAATGACCTTCTTTCCCCAAAATTTCAGTTATACATGAGGTTGTATACTAGAGTAAATATGTAAATTCAACACACACACACACACACACACACACACACACACACACACACACACATATATGTAGTTTTAGCTTCAAAAAAAACTTGGAATGGTTTGGAGTATATAACTGATAGTCATTTTCAACCTTAGGTAAATAAAATTTTACATGAGAAATTATTTGGAAGTATTCCATGCATTGATTCTGGATCCAGGTGCTTATTAGAGAAAAATGGGTGGGCAAGAACTTGAAAAGATATTTTAGGTTCTAACTGTGAGAGAAAAAAAACATCAAGGGACAGAAAGACATGATTTGCTTCTCAAGAGATGAATTTTTAATGCTGTTGGCCAATTATGGGAAGACGAGAGTAAAGTGCAGTTTTCCTGGTTGGGAGGAGGGCTTCCTGTCCTTTTCCTGGTTGGGGGAGTCTTCCTGTCTTTCAAAGGAAGGGACATAAAAGAGCAGATGACATGAATAAAGCCATTATGTGTGCACAGCCACTTAGGAGTTGGAAGGGATTTAGAAATCAAGTGCATAGAAGAGAAACAGATAATGTGCAAGACAATGAAATCAGCCACAACTGTGCCTCCTAAAGATGGAGCTGGTACGAAACTGCTACCCTGCTCTCCTGGCCATGAAAATGTTTACTGCTTTTACAGACCAACACTGGGATTTCATCATATTTCATTTTACTTCAAACTGGTTAAAAATATTGATTTTTAAAATTAATATAATGCTTATTTTTTTTGTATGTGTTGGACGGTGAGCAAAGCACAATTGTGCATTAACCTATGAAATACTCAGGAGAGCCCAAGGCAGCCTTTAAATCACTGATGTTATCCTTCTCAAGTTTTTGTTCTCACTAATGGGGAAACTGAGATCACAGGAAATTACATGACTTGCCCAAAGTCAAGAAATTATTGTCCTATGACTGGAGCTATTTGCCCTTGACTCTAACACCAGTTTTCTTTGTTTATTTTTAAGTGTTTAACATTTATTTTATGTGTATGGGTGTTTTGTTTGCATGCATGTCTTCGCACCATGTGTGTGCCTGATTTTCAAGAAAGTACAAGAAGATAGCATTGGATCCTCTGAGATTGGAGTTGCAGACGGTTGTGAGCTGCCATGCAGCTGTTGGCAATCGAACGAGGTCCTCTGGAAGAGCAGCCAGTACCTATAACCACTGAACCATCTCTCCAGCACCTGAACGCCAATATCTTCAGGGTAATAATGAGCCACCTTTGACATAAGAAATGTAAACGACCCCAACAAAATGTCAAACCTTCTTGTGATCATTATTTTACTCGTCAGGAGATCAAACTCAGAAGGCTCACTGAAGACGTTGCCACTGGGGTTGTAGGAGTTGCTTGCTTGCTCAGGACAGATGCCAGTGCTGTTCACTTGAAGCTTCAGCCTTCTCCATACATCTCTGAGTTTTCAACGTTTGGCGTATTTATCCCTTGTATTTTGGTTGGTAGTTTGGAACATACTGAATCCTGCATTCTGTTGTTTTCCTCAGTCCTTAAGAGTCCTGGTCCTGTCAAACCTTTAACTGTTCCACTATGTTATTACAGCATCACCTGCATTTCTGGGTCAGTGCATTATCTTGCAGAACAGTTATTTAGCATCTGCTCGCCACATAGATGGTGGTGAGTAGGATATATGCAACAATAACAAAATGCCAAGTAGTGTTGTTCAGCTTTCTACGGCCTCACATTGGAATGCCAAAATGTTGTTGGCTGTTTTTGCTTTTTTTTTTTTTGTGGGCCCACCACCTAGCTCCTAAATAAATACACAGAGAGGCTTATTCTTACTTATGAATGCCCGGCCTTAGCTTGGCTTGTTTCTTGCCAGCTTTTCTTAACTTAAATTATCCCAACTACCTTTTGCCTCTGGGCTTTTTCCTTTTCTTATTCCTGTATATTTTACTTTTACTCTTACTCCATGGCTAGCTGTGTGGCTGGCCCCTAGCTTCCTCCTCTCCTTCTTCTCTTCTCTTTCTTCTTCTCCTCTCAGATTTCTTCTTCTATTTATTCTCTTTGCCTGCCAGCCCTGCTACCCTTTCTCCTGCCTTGCTATTGGCAGCTCTTAATTAGTTTTCAAGTGTTTTAGACAGGCACAGTAACACAGCTTCACAGAGGTAAACAAATGCAACATGAAAGAATGCAACACATCTTTGCATCATTAAACAAATGTTCCACAGTATAAACAAATATAACACACCTTAAAATAATATTCTACAACAAAGTAGTTAGCTATTAAGAAATAGCTCCGCATGAATGAGCATTTATAGGCAATTTTCTGCTCATGACAGAAATAGCACTGATCACAAATCAGGTTCACTTCTTTCTTCTGCCTCTGGGGAGACAGCATGGCCCAGTGTCCTTTGCAGTTAACTGGTACCTTGTCCATGTGACTTGTCTCTGGCCACTAGGATGTGAGCAGCAGTGGCACATGCTTCCCCCACTGGCCTCCTTTCTTCTCTTTTTCCTTCCCCATCTTCATCTCCTGAAAACAAAGAGAATAAATAAAAAAGATTTCACGGACCCACAAGTTTCCATGTGGAAGACTCTACTGAACACTGTGAATCTTTTTTTTCTTTTTTTTATATTATTGAATCTACTTTTTTTTTCATTTTTCTTTATTAAGAAATTTTCTACTCACTCTACATACTACCAACAGATCCCACCTCCTCCTCCCAAGCCCTCTCTCCCAAGCCATCCCCACATCCCCAAAATCAAAGTCTCCCATGGGGAGTCAGCAGAGCCTGGCACACTGAGCCTAGGCAAGTCCAAGCCCCTTCCCACTGCACCAAGGCTACACAAGGCATCACACCGCAGGCACCGGATTCCCAAAAGCCTGCCCATGCACTAGGGATGGATCCTGATCCCCCTGCCTGGGTGCTCCCCAAACAGTTCGAGCCAAACAACCATCTTCCGTATCCAGAGGGCCTAGTCCGGTCCCATGGGGGCTCCACAGCCACTAGTCTACAGTTCATGAGTTTCCACTAGGAACACTATGAATCTTACCATGATGTTTCAGTTGCAATCTGGAAGTCGTTTGCTGTAACACCTAACATCCCACATGTTTGCCACATGTGAGTTCCAGGTATGTATTCAGCATTACACACATCAGCCTCTCTATTGCACACTTCTTCCTTTGTTCCTATAGTTCTCTTGTCCTGAAAGTCCCCATTTCCACATCTTTACCCACTAAGACCCAGGGATGTGACAGCACAAATGCTCCTTCTATGAAGGCTCGTTTCTTATTATAGGCAAAACGATCCCGTTTCCCTCTGAACTGCCACAGAGCTCTATTCTCTTTTTCACACTTTTATAGCTGAGTCTTGGCCACCGTTGTATCCCTAGCACTTATTAGCCTGCAATAGTAATCATTCAGTGAAAGAATGGGGTGCATTTATTTCTTCTACAAGGTTGGATAAATTCTTCGTGTAAGGGATCATGTTACAGTCATCTTTATACTTCCCAGTGATGGCTACAGAAGAACTTGGTTTATGATAGGTATTCTAAAAAGTTGTGAATGTAAATTGCTGTTCATGATGTTGGAGAGGTACGGTTTATTTACTTTTTTTATTTAGGACAGTTATTTATCAGAGCCCTGTACATATTTAAAAACTATGGGAAATGTGTCATTGAATTGACCTACATTCCTTCTGCTGAAGTTTTACACCTTCTCTGAGTCTCGGTTACCCCACCCCACCCTCTACCCCCTGGCCTCAGTGCTCTGGAGCAGGAGAAGGTTCTGTTGGCTTAAGCTATTTCTGTCGAACTGATGTATTTACAGAAGGGATGGTAATGATTCAGCTGCTGTAAATCAAGGCCACTGCATTATTTCAGGGAAGATGGGCTTTGGAGTCTTTTCGCTCATAATTTCTAAATTAGTCACAAATTCATGCTTGTATGTAGGTGGGGAAATGGGATATAATTGCTTTGGGGGAGGAATTAGAAAGTTGGCAATTGGTGGTGCCAATGCTCTTACAATCCATCACTAATCAGTAGTATAAAAAAAGGAAAACAGAGCACAGCTGCTCTGTGATTACACAACCAAGAAATCTGAACCATGCAAAAAGGTCCTATGGTAAAAGCAACATGCAGCTGCTAAATGAGAATATGGTTAATACCTGAGGGGCAAACACAATTTGATTTTGGAAAACACACCTATGTATTAAAATTACTCACCCTCAAGGTGGGTGGTGGTGGTTCATGCCTTTAATTTCAGCACTCAGGAGGAAGAGGTAAGTGGATCTCTGTGAGTTTGAGGCCAGCCTGGTCTACAGAGTGAGTTCCAAGACAGCCAAGGCTACACAAAGAAATCCTGTCTTGAAAAACAAAGCAAAACAACAAAAAAAGTAAAAAGAAAAAAATGCTCATCCTTAGGATGCATGGAGCATATATCTTTAATCCTAGCGTTTGGGAGGTGGAGTTAGGAAGAGTCAGAGCCAGAGGTCAGGCTGTGAGACTCCATGTAAAGCAACAAAAATGAAAAATTAAATCAGCCAACCAAACAAAAAGGAATATACACCCCCTCCCCCGATTCTAATTGTGGATAACTTCAGATCATGTCCTAAAATATAAAAATATATTCGTGTCCAACATTACAAAGGTAGGAAAATAACACTTTCAACTTTAAGTGTACAATGAATTCCTGGTATGTTCTTGTAAATTTCAAACAATAAGGAAGAGACGGAAAAATTTAAATATTTACAATCCTTTTCTAACCCCAGTGTTCTCTGCTTCTAGAAGAAAACTTGATAGGATTCTGTGCAATTGTAAAATATGTATTTGCTCATAGAAGTATGACGCAGCGAAGTACTCATATAAGCACCTCATATTGCATATAGTATTCTACCACTTGTCATTTATTCAGCAATTATAGTCTGAAAACTTTCTATATCTGCTTCTCTGACACTCAGCATAGGGATTTACTACATTTTATAAGGTTTGCTTCTTTTTTATTTTATGAATATTAGTGTGTGCCTGCATGTATGTCTGTGCACTACATGGGTGCAGTACCCACAGTGGCCAGAAGAGGGTCCTGGGTCACCTGGAACTAGAGTTAGAGATGGTTGTGAATTGCCATGTGGGTGCTGGGAACTGAACTCGGGTCTTCTGCCAGGGCAGTGAGTGCTCTTAACCACTGAGCCATCTCTCCAATCTCTAGTACATTTTCTATAACCAGAGATTTGCATTACACTGGAAGTTTTATTATGAATTGTCATAGTTAAAAACCATTTTTTATGTCTAGCACGTGAACGGTTGTTCTTTGGTTAGAAACTGAAAAATGAAATAACTGTATTAAAGGATATTTATAACGATTTTTTTTAACTGATGAATGTTCCTCAGTGATTGACATGGATACTTGCTTGTCACTGTGATAAAATATCCTGACAAAAGAAACTCTGGGGAGAACGGGTTTATTTTGGAGAATGGGTTTATTTTGGCTTACAGACACAATCATACCAGGGAAAGTACAGCCAGAAGCAGTGAATGCATGAGGGCAGGCGGCTGGCGGGTCACTTTGCATCTGCCCTCAGAAAATGGCGAGTCAGCAGGAAGTGGAACCCAACTATAAATCCTCAAAGCTCACCTCCAGCAACCCACTCCCTGCAGCAAGGCTCAATTACCTGAAGGTTCCACAACCTTGCCCAACAGTAATGCCAGCCAGAGACCAAGTTTTGAAGTGTTCAATCCCTTGGGGGGTGGGGTGCATTTCACATTCAAACCTCAACAGTGATCAGTTAGACTGCTGGTTCTCAATCTGCGGGTCGTGAACCCTTTCACAGGGGTCTCCTAAGACCTTTGGAAAACAGATATTTCCAGTACGATTTGTAACAACAGCAAAATTTTGAATCACCTTGATGGACTGAGTTATTGTTGGTTGGTCTTTGGTCTTTTTTTTTGAGGGGGGGGCTGCCACCCAGCTCCCTAATAAATCACACACGGAGGTTTATTCTTAATTATGAATGCCCGGCCTTAGCTTGGCTTAGTTTCTTACCAGATTTCTTAACTTATTCCAACTACCTTTTGCCTGTGGACTTTTCCCACTCTCTAACTTCTGTAAATCTTACTCTTACTCTGTGGCTTACTGTGTAGTTGGGTGGCTGGTCCCTGGAGTCCTTCTCTTTCTCTGGCTCCTAACTCTCCAATTCCTCTTCCCAGATTTTTCCTTCTATTTATACTCTCTGCCTGCCAGCCCCACCTATCCTTTCTCCTGCCTCGCTATTGACCAGTTCTTTATTAGACCATCAGGTGTTTTAGACAGGCACATTAACACAGCTTCACAGAGTTAAACAAATGCAACATAAACAAAAGTAACACACCTTAAAATAATATTCTACTACACTGAGTGGCCAATTTATTGACAAATATGGATTGAACACTGTTGTTTTTTTATCCCAAGTATAATGAAAACAAATTGTAAAATGTATTTCTTTAATAGGTGGCATAGGCTATAAATATTTAAATAGATAAACAGTATTCCATGTAGTATATGTGCTTTGAAAAAAAAATAATACACAGGTAGTACAGATGAGACCATCTGTAGGCAGGCAGAGAAGAGGAGGGGAGGGCAGGAAAGGGCGCTCACCCTCCAGAATCTGAACATTTCTCATGATCTCCATCTCCCAAACTGAACAGCCATCTTCCCTAAGCTTCCCCAAGAAGGGGACGAGAGAGAACAAAACTAGTATCTGAACATTTGGAATAGGGAGATGATTCAAAGAGGCCCAAAGCAACAGCGAGCTAGGCAGTGTTGAAGTCTGTGGGGAGCGGAGGAAACCTGGGTAGTGACGTAATGAGTGAATGTGTGCTATTGACATGGACACAGCCATGTCAAGGGCCCCCTAACAAAGGCTTCCTCAGGGGACAGAGTTTGAGTGTTGAGACTGAAGAAAATGTCCACCACAGCCTCCCACCTCCCACCCCAGTTGTTTATAGCCTAAAGACTGCTCCCCTACAGGGACTGTGAAGAACCAGCTTGCCTCCATCTTAGGCCTAAAAGCTGTCTTACAGTAAAGGCAAACCAGGTTCATTCCTGTTTATGATTAAACCTCTGTTTCTCAAGGATTGGGCTATGCCCCAAACTGTAACCTCAACTACACATGGTCTTGTACTGCCTATTCCAAGAATGGCAATAATGTCTTTGTTTCAAAAAGTTGTTTATTACCATCTTGCAACCCTACCTTTGTTTTGAGAGGTTATATAAATACCTATGACTACCTTGTTACAATTACCTGTTATTTTGACTACCCGTTTTGCCCACCTTGTAACCGTGTCTGTGTTTCAGGAGGGACTAACTTGTTATGTTTATGTCCTGCTCCTGTGACCCTGCCTATTTTGCCTGTCAAGTCCCCCACCTGGAAACCTCCTACCCCTGAGCTGTAAAAACCTTGTCTTCCTCACATCCAATGCTAAACCTCTCCAACCCCTCCTTAGGGGGAGGCAGCCCGTGTATATGAATAAAAAAAGCTTGCTTTAATTAATTGCTTGCTTTAATTAGTTTGGTCATGGTGAGGTGGTTGGTCTTTTTCTTTCCATCTTTGGGATTAACAACTGCTCCTAAAATTAAGATCGGCTAAACCAGGCCTCTTGATCCATCTGTACACCACAAACCCTGTCTCTTTCTGTAATAAACACACCTCCCTGTTCAGCTGTGGACAACAGCCCCGCCTCCCTGTTCAACTCTATATAATAAACTCATTGAACTCCCAGGGTGCTGGGGGTTCTCCATCGGAGAGCTCAGACCACCCTATCCGAGCTTTTTGTACATATGTCCATCTCTCTGTACTTTCTCTACCACCACTGCAGTCGGGTAGGTCAGCAAAAGCCCTCTGTCCAAAGCGCCAAGGAGAGCACCAGCAAGTGGATGAAGAAGATGGGTTTATTACTGATAGCAGCCAAGGGGAACACAGCATGGAGAACCCTTCAATGAACTGTGTGAAGAAGAAACCCAGTCCAAGCTGACTTTTATTGAGTGATTGTGAGGAAAGAGAAGAGCAGCTTTGTTGTGGACAAGCTGTGTTATCAACCGATACAGGATCCCTTAGGATGTATTAACACACTTTCAAAGTGTCCTTTCCTAAGGCTGTAGCTAAATCCTTTACGAGGAAGGGAGTTAAGTGAGCCCAGAAATATCACTGACTGTCCTCATTACCAAGCAAGCTAAGCATGCCAACCAATCTTTGGGGCTGTCTTTACTTCTCTGAGACCTTAAGCTGAGCATGCTCAATCATGTATATCTGAAATCAAGCATGCTCAGCAATGTGCCTATCATCCTACGGATGTGCGTAGATTCCTTGGGAAAAAACCAAACGAACAAGAAACCATTTCTCCCTTTCCAGCTCTGGAAACAGCTCCTGTGTTGCTGTTAGCAGTCCCTGCTGTTGACAATAATCTTTCTCCTCTTGTTTATTTCTTGGATGTGTGAACTCATGGAGCTCAGTTACGGCTGCTGGAAGCTAGAAGGGATGATCCTATCGCTGAGAGTCTTACATATCTTGTGTTCTTCCTGAAGTCTGAGACTCCAGATGCCTCACTTCTACAGAATTCCAAAAGTCAATCCCTTCGACCTCTGGCCTTGACAGCTCCCCGTGTGAACCAAGAGAGCACCCCGCTGCACTTCCATAAGGGAGGGGCTAATCCAATATGAATTTTATATTGAAATAAGGTTTTGCTGGGAGCGAATGGGTGGATTTGAGTGGGTGGATTAAGACAGTTTACAGTGCAAATATTCGGCAAGTATGTTATGTTTTAAATGCTATAAACATTTTTAAAAAGATTTATTTACTTTTATGTGTTTGAGTGTGAGTTTTGATAGTGTGTAAAGAAAATGTCCATCACAGCTCCTCACCTCACCTCAGATATTTATGACTTGAAGACTGTTGCCTAAAGAGACTGCTCCTACCGAGATTAATTAAACTCATCCCTTTCATCCAGCTGTACACCACAAACCCTGCTGCCTTATTTGTTTGTGTGCTATAACCCCACCTCTATAGGCAGATTTTTCTGTGTCCCAGTAGTCGCTCCCAAATAACCACAAAAGACTTAATATTAATTATCCATGCTCAGCTAATAGCTTAGGTTTGTCTCCAGCCAGCTCTTGCAACTTAAATTAATCCATTTCTATTTCTCTATGTGCTGCCCTGAGGCTTGTTTACCTCATCTATGAAATTCCCATGTTGCTTCTTCCCAGTCTGGCTGGAGACTCCTCAGACTCCGTCCTTCTTCCCAGCATTCTCCCTGCCCCTAAAATCTTGCCTAGCTATTGGCCAATCAGCTTTTTATTAACAACAAGAGCAACACATTTCCACAGTGTACAGAAGGATTATTCCACAGCATCCCTCCTTGTTCAGCTGTGTGCAGTAACCCTGCCTCCCTGCTTGGGCGTTTTCCTTGCATGTATGTCTGTGTACCCCATGCATGTAGTACCCTGGGAGACCAGAAGAGGGTGTCAGATCCCCTGCAACTGGAGTTAGAGACAGTTGTGAGCTGTCATGTGGGTGCTGAGAACTGTACCCCATCCTCCGGAAGAGAAGTCAGTTCTTTTAACGGTTGAGCCATCTCTCATGGCACACACACACCCACTTACTTCTTTCCCTCTGTTCTTGTTCTGCTTGTCTCTGATTTCTCTAAGTAGAGCTAGCTAACCCAGCATCCCCGGGACATACTTCTCTTCTACCCCACTGAAGTGAGCAAACATCTGGCTCCCAGGCATTCAGAATTTAGTCTCTGGGTAACTTCTGGTGGGTTTGAAAGGACAAAGATGGGTTGCTCTCTTATCCTGTAACAAGTCCATGGAACTGGCTATCTTCATGGGCGTTTTGAATTAAAGAAGATGTCACATGGGATGTGTCTGACACATGGTAATGGTTATTAATTACTTCCCCTTCAGTTATCAATTCTTATGACTTAAGCTTTATATTTTAAACATCTAAAGGTTTAGTTTATTTTTATGTATATGAGTGCTTTGTTCAAATGTATGTGTGCCACATGCATTCCTGGTGTCCTCGGAGGTCAGAAGGGTGTTAGATCCTCTGGAACTGGTGTTACAGATGGTCATGAGCTGCCATGTGAATCCTGGGAACATAGTCTGGATCCTCTGGAAGACCAGCCAGAGCATTTAACCACTGAACCATCTCTCCAGCCCTGCTTTTATATTTTTATGTGTTAAAGACAAACATGGGAAGCAGCCCATTCACAGTTGGAGTTTGAAGTCCTTCTCAAGCAAAGGGTTTTCTCATCCCAATACTCTTTGCTCTCTTCCTACTCAGTCTGCGTGAGTCCATAAGGACTTACATGTGGGTTCCTATTTCTTATGCTGGCCACTGTGGAAGTCGAAGGAAAGGGAAATGTCCATGGGTCAAATATAGGGTAAAAGAATATATATATATATATATATATATATATATATATATATATATATATATATATATATATATATATATTTCTCTTCCTCTTCACAATCAGTTTCTACCCAATAGCTAAAAGATTGAGGAATTTGAATTTAATGTTCTAGTGTAAATTCAATGTTCCAGGAGCCTGCCAACCTGACAACAGTAAAATATTCAAGTCTATTAGTGCATGGTTCCAGGAATTTCAGAGGGAGGCTTCTGTGGAGTGATTTCCAGCAAGGACATGCTGAGATGCATTTGTCTCCTCTGCCTGAGACTTTGGAATGGGAGCAGATGACTGGAGGGACCGAGCCGGAGTCCTTATCGCTCAGCTTTTAATTTATGACATGTGAACCACTTCCTTGCCAGCAGAGATGGAAGTTAACTATCGATTCTAGAGATTGGCAGTTCTTGGCAGGGCTTGGCGCAGGGCAACCAAACATGGGAATGCATTTACAAATTAACTTTGCTACTCCCTCTTCTCCCTGCTCCCTCCCATCGGGAAAGATGACATTAACATCCAAATACCGGGGTGGCATTTTAAAGCTACAGCTCTGCAGTATGGTTCCAAGCTGGAAGTTCCAAGCCATGTTTGGCCATCATCCTGCCCATCTCTGTGCCCACCAGCAATTACCCATAATGCTTCTCCTTCCCTGCATAGCAAGCCTCTTTCTCCAGACGTTTGGCTTCCCAGACCTCTGGATGTGCAGCATAACGCCTTTCTACAGAGTAGAAAGAAGTCATCAGGTACTTGATAAAGGAAATCAAAATATCACTTTGTCATCTATTATCAAGCAAAATCCATGCACAACTATCACGAGACAAATGGGGAGCATGAAATCGATTCATCAGCCGCTACAGCTACCATTCTTGTTCGTTGTTCCAAAAGGCCTGCCTGCATCCCTCCCCCTGCCTTTTCCTTCGGTCACGTCCATTCCCAATGAAAACCCCTCGTCTTGGACCAGCAAGCTCCTTTCAGTTGTTTAGCTGACCAGTGAGAGAATTCTGTAACAGGTACTTTGTACCAGGCCTTTTCTTTTGGGCCATCAACCAGCTCCCAATTCATGACACGGAGACTTCTTATGAGTTATGAATGCTCGAACTTATCGTAGCTCTGATTTTAATATGTTTCTCTTCATCTACATTTTGTCCCAGGGCTTTTTAACCTTTCTTTCTTTCCATATATCTTACTTCCCTGCTGTCTCCATGTCTGGCTGGTGGCTGCCTGGCTTTTTGGCCCCAGGCATCCCCCCCCCATTCTTCTCTCTTCTTTTGAGCCTAGATTTCTCCTCCTATTTATCCTTTCTGCCCGCCAGCCCCACCTATCCTTTCTCGGCCTAGCTATTGACCGTTCAGCAATTTATGAGGCCAATCAGGTCCCTAGGCGGGCAAGGTGAATCTTTACATCATTAACAAATGCAGCATAAACAACTGTAGCACACCTTTACACAGTTAAAATAATATTCCACAGCATAAACAAATGTAGCACACCTTTACACAGTTAGAGTAATATTCCACAGCATAAAGAAATGTAACACATCTTTACACAGTTAACATACTACTCCACAACAGGTGCTAAAAAAGGGAAGTACTTGTCTTGCAAGCAGGAGGGTCTGAGTTGAATCCCCAGAACCCACCTGAAAATACCAGATCTGGGGGCATATACCTGCAATTGCAGCGCTGTGGAGGCAGAGACAGGAGGATGGATCGCTAGGTTTCACTGGCCAGCCAGTCTAGCCTAAATGGCGAGCTTCAAGTTCTGTGGGAGGCCTCGCCTCGAAGGATGTGAAGGACATTCCCGAGGGAGACACTTGAGATTACATCTGGCTTCCACATGCACAGTACACACATGCACCTGTACACACATGTATATCTGCACATATACAAACATGCACACACCTTTTAAAAAGAAATCGAGTAATCTGCACACCTGAATGTTGGAGCCCTCGAAAGGTTTTTTTTTTTAATGCTTTGGAATGAGACCATGCATTTAGGCTTCAGTGTCTGACGAAGCTAATTCTGAGTCTTCCTCAAAGCATCGACAGGCCACATTCCTCTAAAGTTCTCTGTGTGTTCTC